CTTTGGTCGGCCGAGTCTCTACTCGCCGCTTTTTCCTCTGTTTCGCTTGTTGTTTTTGTTGTTGTTGTTGTTGTTGTTGTTGTTGGCCGGCCCTGCAATGCACTGCAATGCAGCTCGTCGCGGCGTTCCGTCCCGACTGGCCGCGCCGCCGCCGCGTCGCCGTGGATGACGGACCGGCTGACAGGTGACAGTGTCGGAGCCTAGAGGCCTAAAATCGCGTTGCGTATGGTGCAACGGCCAGGCCGGCGAGGCGGTCTTTCTGCCCCCTCCCACCATTTTTTGCTTTCTTTGCGTTCTGCTGACGGCCGGCGCCGCGAGCGCCATCCGTCCGTCCATCTAGGCGATGCTGTATCGGATCAGCCTGCCCATGTACAAAGTACTACACTCTTTCTCGGCGCGGAAAAGAATCTGATTTGGTTTCTCGGAACGTCGGCCGACGCGCCTTTTCCCAATGCGCAGCCGGGCGGTATACAGTGTGGCAACAAGGGATCAATTTGTGCTGAGCCCTCGGCGGCGGCTGGGCCGCGGGGGCCGGCCGGGGTCGCCGTCGTTCGTCGGACACGCGGCGAGGAGCACTGTGGGCGGAGGTCGCCAAAATCCCGGACGCGTTTTGAGCTCCAGGGTCGCTAAATGGGACCCGAAACGACCGTGTGACCCCACCAATGGATTGCTCTGCGAACCAGGAATCCATTGGTGGGGTCACACGTTCGGTTCGAGTCCTATATAGCCACTCAGGAGCTCAAAACGCGTCTAGAGTTTTGGCCGCCTCCGCCGGTCTTCTGGCCCACTGCGGGGCGCGAACCCTCGCCGTCGTGGTCTTCGTAGTCCTGGTCGCCTCTTTGGAGCAAATCGCTTCATGGTAAGGCGGGCCGATTGCCATCAGTGCTGCTGCAGTGCTGCAGCAGCCCATGAATGGGCCCATGTTGGTACAGGCGTTAGCGCTGCGCTCCGCGCCGCCCCCCACGGTAGCGGCCGGCCGGGCGAGGGCAGGCGAGGGCAGGCGAGGGCCGGGGCGCGGCGCAGCGTTTGAATGGGGCTTATTTGTCTCCCGCGCGCCGATACAAGTGCGATACCACCAACACAGTAGCCTGCCGGACCACGCCACGCCACGCCACGCATGGGGCCGGCTGGGCGGTGTCCCGCTGGACTCGCTGCTGGACTTGCTGGAGTGGCTGGCTGGAGTCTCCGTCCGGGAGGGCAGCGACCGGCCGTGGTGTTGATGTGGACTCCGGGCTGGACTCGCTCCGGGCGTGGCCGTGCAGGTGCGACACGTGGTACGCCCCGCCCCGCCCCGCCCCGCCTCGCCCCGCCTCGCCCACGCCGGCTAGAGTCTTCTCGGAACGCAGTCGCGCTGCCGGGAAATCGCGGCCGCATCTCCGGGGTCGCGGGGGTCCCGGAGGTCCTCCTCGTCGTCGTCCTGGACGTCCTCGCCGCGTTCCCAGTGTAGCGGCGGGGCCGCTGAAATTCGTCCGCTCGCGCCGCTTGTTGCTGGAAAGATAAAATGTAATGACGGGTCCGAACGACCGGGCTGGCCGGACCCCGGTCCGAGAGTCGTCGCTCTGTCTCTCTCGCACTCATGGGGCGTGCCCTATCGGTGCGAGAGAGACAGAGCGACGAAAAGGGCTCTCGGAATGAGTCTGCTGGCCGGACGGGCTGGACGGGGCCCAAGGCTGCCAGGGCCCGACGATTCGTTTGTTAAGCCCCATTGGCGTATGGCGATCGCTTCATCCCGACCGGCGGCCGGCAGAGGCAGCAGCAAGCACGGCGAGCCGCGCGCAGCGCGCAGCGAGCACAAAACACACATTACATGTATCATAATTCGTTATTTATGCGTTCGTCTTCCAAGCATTCCTGCCTGCCCCGCCTGCCCCGCCGCTACTGCTGGTCTGCAGATACGCCCCAACCGACAGCCCCCCCCCCCGCCTCCCCCTCCCCCTCGTATCGCCGCGCGGCTGGCTGGCATTGCCAGGGCATTGCCAGGGAATCGCCGAAGCATATGCCCCGCCGCGTATCCGATTCAAATACATTTCTCCCCCCCCCCTCTCTCTCTCTCTCTCTCTCTCTCTCTCTCTCTCCGCGCATTGTTGCTGCTCTTTTCCCCTCTCATTTGCCTGTCTGTCTGTCTCTCTCTCGCTCGCCGGCCGGAAGTGAATAGATCATCGCGCGTCTCTCTATGGAGTTGGCGTGCGTTACACGCCGAACGCCCCCGGGGCGCATCATCGGGGGTCATTGTGTGTGTGTGTGTGTGTGTGTGTGTGTGTCTGTGTGTGTGTGTGTGTGTGTGTGTGTGTGTGTGTCTGTGTGTGTGTGTGAGTTCGTTGGCGGGGAATGGAGGGAAGATGTGGATTGGAAAGCATTTGGTCCATTTTCGGGACGGGTGAAATGGTGCGTGCGCGTGCACACCACCCGCGCCGCGCCGCGTCGCTTGTAGACGGAATAACAATGCGACTGAAAATATAACGATGATAATGAAATAATATTCTGTGTGTGTGTGTGCGTGTGCGTGCGTTGGAGGGAGACGGAGTGGCAGGCCGGCGCGCGCGTCTTGCGGCCGTCCATGGTGGTGCGAGGCAAAAACAGGCCCCGCCACGCCACGCCGCGCTCCTCGCCGCCTCAATCGTCCGGTACGGAGCGCGAGCACGCTGAATTAATAATTCGGAACGTGTCGGGCCGTCTCGCTCGCACCCGTGCGGCCGGCCCCGCCAGTGCGACAGAGACAGAGCGACGACGCGGGCCGCGCGGGGCCGCGCGCGCTGTTCGCGGAATCGTCGGCCGTATGGGGCTCGCTCACGCGCGTGCGCGCCGTCGGCGGCGGAGGCGAGCGGAGCGGGTTCGATCCCCGCCGCCAGCGTCCGCTTTTATTCGGTCGGGAGTCTGTTTTCGTTGTTGTTTGTTTTTTTCGTCAGCCGGTGACCGCGCGCACCGGCCGGCCGGCCGGCCGACCGGCTGTTCGGCCTCGGCGGCCTCGACCCCGGAGTCGCTTTCTTTGCCCGGCCTTGGCGGTCCGTGTGCCCCGAGCCGTGCCCCGTGCGTTGAGGCCGGTCAGGAGCGGAGGCTGCACACACACATACACACACACACACACACAAACACAGTCACACCACGCGCAGGCACACACGCACGCTGACCCCTCCCACTGCAACCCTTTCCATCGATCACGCATCGAGAGGCGGCGCTCTGGCTGTGGTTCGCGGGCCGGGGCGTGGCGGGGCGTGGCGGTCGGACCGGCCCGTCGGCCGCCAGGCAGGCCGCCAGCCGATAGCCGCGATTTGATTGGTCGGCGATCGATCGGATTGGAGCCGAAGCGAGGCCGAGGGGGTGGAGGGGCGGCGCTAGCGTGGCCTCCGCCGCGGCTCTCTTTATTTCTTTTTTTTCGCTCCCCCCTCCTCCTCTCTCCTACGGACGGCTCCACCAGGCTCCACGCGGCTAGCCCGTTTTTCCCCGCTCCGCGCGCGATGGCTGTTCGAGAACGCAACGGTGCTGATGACGGGGCGATTTGACGGCCGGGGCATTGGTCGGGGTACTCGTTGGGGTACTCGTTGAGGCACTCGTTGAGGCACTCGTTGAGGCACTCGTTGAGGCACTCGTTGAGGCACTCGTTGAGGTGCTCGTTGAGGCACTCGTTGAGGTACTCGTTGAGGCACTCGTCGTCTTCCTCCGCGATCCCTTCTCGCTGCGTGCGTGCAAACCGCCGCCAACGCGAATGTATAAAATCGTTTTATCGAGGATGAAACGAAGCGCGTGCTGAGCCGAGACCTTTTCGGGTACCTGTTCGCGGTCCAAGTACTAAAACCTCATCAAAACAAAAACAGTTTCGCTGTAAAAAAGTGTTTCACAACATGGCCGCTTCTTTGGCGTCCGAACGCGTGTATGAATGGGCACCGCGGCCCCGCCGGCTGCACTTGTTTTATGACTTTGATTTTTCCGCCCGCGGGATGAGTGCGGCGGACAGCAGACGTATGGATGACTGCCGGCGGGGCTGCCTGGCTGCCTGCCTGGCTGCCCGCCTGCTACCCGCGGTGTCTGCCCGTCCGTCCGTCTGCCCGTCGGCCGCTTGTCCATACGTCTGTCAGTCAGGCCGCCAGTCACCTGGGCGGTACACTGGCGGCGGTGCGGCAGCCCTTGATGAGCTCCGCCTCGACTCGACTCGGAAAGCAGGAAAATATATCGACGGGGATTCTAGAAATGTGTGTGTGTGTGTGTGTGTGTGTGTGTGTGTGTGTGTGTGTGAGTGTTAGTGCCCGCGGGCATCGAGGCGTTGCACGACCGGTTGACTTGCTCCATGCTCGCCACGCCCCGCGCCTCAAATCGAGCATCCTGACGGACACAGGTATACGCGCCCACGCATCCTTCTGGTGGCGTGGCGCGGTGGGGCGCGGTGGTGCCGCGGGGCCGTGGTGGCCGCGCCGCCAGAGCGCTGCGCCGCTGCGGTGGTCGCGCAGTGGACAAGAAGGCCGTAAAGGACAATTAAAGCGTTTTATTATTGGCGGTGGAGTGGAGCCCCCCGCGTCGCTGCAGACTGATTCCGAGAGTCGTCGCTCTGTCTCTCTCGCACCTCCAGCCCCATCAGTGCGAGAGAGACAGAGCGACGACTGTCGCTGCGAGGCGGCTCGTCGAACGACTCGGGCGTACTCGGCCACACCAGAGTGCTTTTCGGCAGCTTTTCCTCTGTGTTTGCGTCGGCGGTGCAACGCTGCCTGCCAGCTCGGTCGGGCCGGCCACCTCAAGAGTCAATTACCTGCTGGCGAGCGCCGAGCCCACTTGCCCGCCGCTTATTGCATATCCTCCGGAATCATAATAAACGGCGTTGTTTGATTATTGCATCTCTCTGATTGGTCCTGGTGGGCGTACCTCGGCCGTACCTCGGGCGTACCGGTCAGACAGGCAGCCAGTCGGGGCGGGGCGGGGCGCGTCGTGATGGGAGGAGTTTGCCATACGCAACGATCGTGACTGCACCACGCCATGATGCTGACGATAGTCCTCTTTTTCTCTGTTGACAGGTGAGCGGGTGGTCGGAGCGACCAGAACGCAGCGCCGGACCCATGCTTGCGTGCTTGGTGAGGACCCCAATGTCACGAGATCGAATCCCGGTCACGCCAATGTTTTGTCATTTTTAATGGTCTTATATTTTTTTCCACTGTCTGTTGACGTTGCCGGTTGTCAATGAGGTTCACAATGTACGTCCAGTTTGATAGCTTCGCGTGGCGAGTTTCATCGCTATGATTAGGTCCTGTACACTGCGCACACTCGGCCTTCCCTCGCAGCACAAAAGTGATCTAAAAACCGGCCCCGCGAAAAAAAAAACTTCTCGCGATCGGCAACTGCGGGTAGTTGAACCCGCGACCGCTAACGAGGCCGTGCGGCGCAACGTGGCGCAGCTGTCGAGGAAAAGTTCGAGAAAAGTCGGACCGGGAAAATAAATTTAACCGCGTGGGACGCAAAGCATCGCAAAGCGAGGGCAGCGATTCGCTAGATGGCGCTGAGTGGCTATCTGTGTTTTAGGAAGGTAGTTAACGTGTCACTTTGAGCGTGTTTGAGGGACGGCGCCTGTCCGTATCCGGTCGCGGCGTCGCGTCGGCCGGACGGACAGGCGATGGCGTCCCGGCGTCACGGCGCCGAGGCCGTAAGGACCACAACGACATGGTCCCAGAGGACCTGCGCACTGATTCCGAGAGTCTCTCTGTCTCTCTCGCACGCACTCGGGGACGCCCCGTGCGTGCGAGAGAGACAGGGCGAGTCGGTCTGCTGGGGGTTCCCTTGGGGTTCCCTTGGGGTTCCCGAGGGCGGAGCGGAGGGGCCGACCGGAAGGCCAATTTTATGTGGAGCAGATATCTGGCTGGCGCCAGCAGAGCCAGCAGCGCCAGCCGTCTAGCGAGCTACATCGGTTTGGTCTTTGCACCTCCGTGTCGCCCTGCCAGTGTCGTGTCGCCCGGGAAGGCTTTATGAATAAGTGGGGACGCGCCGGGGATATGGGAACGGGGGCTGCTGTCATAACATCATTTGGGCTCCCTCCTGGCCTCCTGGCCCCACGACAGCTAACGTATGTGCGAACCTGCAGGCGGGGCGGGCCGGGGCACGGCCCAAGGATTACCAGCCACACAAAAACTTGGCTTCGGCAGCTGTCGGAGGCAAGCGTTCGATCGTTTCCGAAATCTCCAAGAAACTTTCGTAAAATTAGCGCGTGCACAGTGGAGGCATTACCGACGTGTTTTGAGCTCCAGAGTCGCTATAGGAAACTCGAACAGAACGTGTGACCCCATCAATGAATTGCTCTCCGAACCAGGAATCCATTGGTGGGGTCACACGTTCGGTTCGAGTCCCATTTAGCGACTCTGGAGCTCAAAACGCGTCCGGGATTTCATCTGCCTCCACCGGTCGGGTGGTCTTCGGCCACTGTGCGCCTGGGGGGTCGGCAACGAGCACTCCTTTCCTCCTGTTGGCGCTGCTTTACACACACACCACACACACACACACACACACACACACACACACACACACACACACACACACCTTATAGGAAAGTCCTGGATCCGCACCCGTTTTGTATTCCCGCCCTTCGTCCTCGCGGCGCGTCGCAGCGCGACTCCCACCGTTTACACGCGAGGGCTGATCAAGCCCCCGGAATCTGGCCGAGTCACCGCGCCGGGCCCGTTGGGGCGGCCGGGGCCGGGAGTCGAACCCGGGTCCCCCTAATTAGGTGGCAGGTCGTGTCCGCGCTCTGTCTTTCTCACGAGTCACGCTGTCACCGCGTCGAACGCTGTCTGTCACAAGGGCTTCGCCGGGGACGGCGGCGGGGAGGCCGGGGCGGCGACGTCGGGACAGGGGGCGGAAAATTATACGCATTGACTGGGGGCGGGGGGCGGGCCGGGGCGGGGCGGGGGCACCAGGCGCCAGACGCCAACCTGTGCAGGGCGTGGTGGGGCCCTCTCCCACCACAAGTAGTCTGATTTCTGTCAGGCGCCTGCTGCTGTTGCCTGATTTGTCCGGAACGCCTCTTTGGCCCAGGCAAAGCCAGGCAAAGCCCAGGCCTCTCCAGAAGCATTTTACAGTGCGCCAGACGCGCATCTATCTATCCATGCATCTATCTATCTCTGCATAGAGGGGCTGCGCGTGCCCGGTGCGGCCGCTGGAGCAGGCCACTTGAACACTCGAGTCGAATCGAAGCGGCGAGGAAGCAGAGCGGCAGGAAGCGGGTCCTTCGTACGTGTCGATCGCACTGCTCGCCCCAAATGCCCCAAATGTCGTCCCAGTGGCGTGCCGTGCCGCCGTGCCAGCAGACTGGTTCCGAGAGTCGTTTTCGTCGCTCTGTCTCTCTCGCACTCACGGGGCGTCTCACACAGGTGCGAGAGAGACAGAGCGACGAAAACGACTCTCGGAATCAGCCTGCCGGTCCTAATACCGCACTTCCTGGGCGAAGGCCCGAAGGCCCGAAGGCCGCATCCCCGGCTCCAGAGGACGCCCTTTCGAATGCGTTCCACATGTGACTTGTCTATATGTGTCTGGTTTCGCCCTCTCCAAGTTTTTGCCTCCTGGAGGGACATCTGCCGGCTGCATGCCCCGGCGCGCCACGGCCTGCCCGAGGGCCTCCAGGGCCTCCAAGAGGCCGGGGAACCGATCGGTCGGCTGGCCTGCCTCACGGCCTTGTCTGTCTGCAGCTCCGGCGGACGGATTCCGAGAGTCGTTTTCCGTCGCTCCGTCTCTCTCGCACCTGAACGGCACGCCCTTCGAGTGCGAGAGAGACAGAGCGACTCTCGGAATCAGTCTGCAGCAGGGATGCGGCACGTCGTGTTCCAAATCGCGAACGCCCTTTCCGATGTGTCTGTCTTTGCATGCGCTGCTCCAGCAGATCCCAGTAGTGAACGTGTGTGTGTGTGTGTGTGTGTGTGTGTGTGTGTGTGTGTGTGTGTGTGTGTGTGTGTGTGTGTGTGTGTGTGTGATGGGGGAAGACAGTGCCAAACTGACTGGCAGCCCCCCCCCTTTCCCCGCGCCGTTCGCCGATGGGCGGAAGTCATCAGTGCATATCGGCCGATGAGTCGCTTAGCACGGGAAGGGCTTCCAGACAAACGGACAGACAGGCAGGCAGACAGACAGACAGACGGAGGGACAGAAGCACAAGTAAAGCCGGAAAATGTGTCCCCCGATGTCGCCGCATGCCGCGACGTAAATTAATTTTCGTTAATTATCATAATTGGCGGTTCACCACCTGACGGATCTCCCAATGACTCGTTGCCGAGTTGCCCGGCGCGGCTCGACCCTAAAGCCAGCTTCTTTCCCCTTTTTGGCTCGGCCCTCTTTGAGGCCGATTGCAAGCCTGCAATGCAAGCCTGCGAACCTGCAAGCAAGCGAGCGAGCCGGGCGGGCCTACCCCTTCCACTCGACTCGGCTCCGTTCGGCGAAAAGAAGGGATAAAAGCTTTATCAATGAATGAAAATAAACACGGCACATTTACGTCACCTGGAATGACAATGCTCCTCCTTTCTGCTCTTCCCCTCGGCCGAGCCCGGACGGGATGGAACGGAATATTCAGTAATATTTACTTCCCCGGATCACTCAATTACTTTTGGGGTGACCGCTGTCGCGGCTTTCTGGCCGACTCCCCCGCGCGTTTGGCCAGCGGCGAGGCGCGGTTTTTTTCCGCCGAAACTGTCAGAAAACAATGAGAAGTCACACTAAATCATATTAGAAGGCCACCCCTTCGTTTTCCGCGCGTGCTCTTTTTTTTTCACAAAATTCTTTCTGCCTGCCGAAAAAAAACGCTTCTTCCCCGGAGCCTGCCCTTTGAAGCGCGAGCGAGCGAGCGAGAGAGAGAGAGAGAGAGAGAGAGAGAGAGAGAGAGAGAGAGCGATATTTGATCAGCTTTATGTGTGTGGCCGGGCCGCAGCGTATCTCTGTAACCTTTATGTGATATATATTTCATTCGAGCAATTAAAAATAAAAATTCGGGGAGAAATCCGGAAGGGAGGGGAAAGATGATGGGTCCGTGTGCGAATAATGCAAATCAAACGAAAGGGTCGAGGCGGGGCGGGGCAGCAGGCAGCAGGACGGGGCGGTGTCGGTTTACCCGCCGTCATTAGACTCTGCAGATTTCCTAATTCCTCGACTTTTTCCTCCTTAACCCCCTCGTCAAAGTAAGTCGTCGATAGGGTGGCGGGGCGCGGGGCCTTCGACGGGGACCTTCGACGGGGACCGAGGGCGTCCCTGTTTTGTTTGTCTTTGGCTCTATCGGACTACCAGGGACTACCGCCAGCCCGATGGCACGGCGACGTGGCCCCGCGTGGCCCCGTGGCGCCGGGGGGTATAAAATATTCGCGGATGGCAAAGTCGTCGATAAGCAAGGGTTATAGGAGACGGCGACGACGCAGCGCGGGGGAGGGGGAGGGGGCGCTAATGTCAATAGAGATATCTCCGTTAGCGGGACGAAACCGGAAAATAAAGCCTTTGATAAGGTTGTGATTAAAGAGGAGCGCCGAAAGCGTGTGGCGGCGCTGGCTGGGGGCCTCGTGGTCCTGGGGGGCGCGGCCGGCGGGGCCCTCGCGGCCGCCTCGCGGGGCCTAAGGGCGCTGGAGGGCCCCGGAGGGTCCTGGAGGGCCTGGAGGACGCCGAGGGCGGCGGCTTCCTTGCGCCAATCAGTGCCCTTTAGCCCTTTAGTCCGCCTTGCGCACACGTGTGCCGCCTGCTCGGTCTGCCGACCAAAAAGGGGTGCACGCCGAGCACGCCGAGCGCGGGGCATCCCCGCCTATAACGACACTCGATTCTGCTTCGACAGGCGACAGGAAGTTTTAATCAGCTGACTGTCGCCGTGCAGGGCGGCGCGTCTCTGTACGAGCCCTCGAGCCTGCCTGCCTCTCTCTCTGTCTCTCTCTGTCGCTGAGTGCCAAAGCCGCTCGCTAACATCACAGCGATGAGCACAAGTTTCCCTTCATACTTTGTCGATAAGCTAGGTGTCGCCGCCCCCGGGGCCTGTGCTGCCTCTCTCCCCTCCTCCTCCTCCTCCTCCTCCTCCTCCTCCTCCTCTTCCTTCCCATCCTCTCTCTACTCCCTCCATTCTCCCTCCTCA